CTACCTCCAGGGATATTCATTATGATTGTTTCTTTTAAAGCCCTTTATGTGGCGTCGCTCAGACGCCCGACTGTGGCATTTCTTTTAAAGCCCTTTATGTGGCGTCGCTCAGACGCCCGACTGTGGCATTTCTTTTAAAGCCCTTTATATGGCGTCGCTCAGACGCCCGACTGTGGCATTTCTTTTAAAGCCCTTTATGTGGCGTCGCTCAGACGCCCGACTGTGGCATTTCTTTTAAAGCCCTTTATGTGGCGTCGCTCAGACGCCCGACTGTGGCATTTCTTTTAAAGCCCTTTATGTGGCGTCGCTCAGACGCCCGACTGTGGCATTTCTTTTAAAGCCCTTTATGTGGCGTCGCTCAGACGCCCGACTGTGGCATTTCTTTTAAAGCCCTTTATGTGGCGTCGCTCAAACGCCCGACTGTGGCATTTCTTTTAAAGCCCTTTATGTGGTGTCGCTCAGACGCCCGACTGTGGCATTGCTTGTTATTTATTTCATAAATTTTAATACTGCTATGTATTGCATTTTTTTTTATAAATAACCGCCTGCATGCATCAGTATTTTATTTACTATTTTTGACTGACGTCATGAGCATAAAAATATTTTTAGCACATCATGGTTATATTATACCTGTGTTCATAATATTTGCGAGTACATTCAAAGTACTCACTGGCTTGTCCCTCGCTATTGTCTTGGCCAGATTTTGCTCGCACGGAGAGGAGCGACGCGAATGCCAGCCCCGGAACCCACTCAATGGAGATAGCAGCCTCGCGAAGATAGGAATTAACATGGTCAGCTGTTCCCGTGGGAAATGGAGTCCCATAGACACAGATGTTTCACAACCCGCTTCCGCCATCAACCACTAGAAACCATTTGTTGTACTCACAAGCCAGAATGGTCTTGTACTACATATTTTGTATTTTGCTTGGAATTTCTGTATCAAGTTGGAGCCTCATCAGCTAACAGTAATCCTGGGGCTGATGAGCACGACGGTCTTTTCTGGAAATTTATTACCCGGAAAACCCGGTCGCGACAGGTGTCCGAACATAGTCGTCCAATATATCGATCTTTATGTCTCGACCATTTCGAGACTCCTCGTCATGTCCATGATCACATCCGGGACTCCAAACTACCTTCAGTACATCAAAACACAAAAATCATAATACAATCGTCACCGAAACTTTAAGCATGCGGACCCTACGGATTCGAGAACTACATAGACATGACTGAGACATGTCTCCGGTCAATAACCAATAGCGGAACCTGGATGCTCATGTTGGCTCCTACATATTCTACGAAGATCTTTATCGGTCAAACCGCATAACAACATATGTTGTTCCCTTTGTCATCGGTATGTTACTTGCCTGAGATTCGATCGTCAGTATCTCAATACTTAGTTCAATCTCGTTACCGGCAAGTCTCTTTACTCGTTCCGTAATACATCATACCTCAACTAACTCAGTAGTTACAATGCTTGCAAGGCTTATAGTGATGTGCATTACCGAGTGGGCCCAGAGATACCTCTCCAACAATCGAAGTGACAAATCCTAATCTCGAAATACGCCAACCCAATAAGTACCTTCGGAGACACCTGTAGAGCACCTTTATAATCACTCAGTTACGTTGTGACGTTTGGTAGCACACAAAGTGTTCCTCCGGTAAACGGGAGTTGCATAATCTCATAGTCATAGGAACATGTATAAGTCATGAAGAAAGCAATAGCAACATACTAAACGATCAAGTGCTAAGCTAACGGAATGGGTCAAGTCAATCACATCATTCTCCTAATGATGTGATCCCGTTAATCAAATGACAACTCATGTCTATGGCTAGGAAACATAACCATCTTTGATTAATGAGCTAGTCAAGTAGAGGCATACTAGTGACACTCTGTTTGTCTATGTATTCACACATGTATCATATTTCCGGTTAATACAATTCTAGCATGAATAATAAACATTTATCATGATATAAGGAAATAAATAATAACTTTATTATTGCCTCTAGGGCATATTTTCTTCAGCAAGATCTATCTAGGAGAGGCATAGCAATGAGAGGGGAGAGTGTGTCTATGTACCCTCGTAGACCGAAAGCGGAAGCGTTGAGTAACGCGGTTGATGTAGTCGAACGTCTTCGCGATCCAACCGATCAAGTACCGAACGTACGACACCTCCGTGATATGCACACGTTCAGCTCAGTGACGTCCCTTGAACTCTAGATCCACCTGAGGCCGAGGGAGAGTTTCGTTAGCACGACGGCGTGTTGACGGTGATGCTGAAGTTACCAACACAGGGCTTCGCCTAAGACCTACGACAATATGACCGAGGTGGAAATCTGTGGAGGGGGGCACCGCACACGGCTAAGAAATCAACTTGTGTGTCTATGGGGTTCTCCCCTCCCCCGTATATAAAGGAGCGGAGGAGGGGGCCGGCCGACCTCAAGGGGCGCGCCCCAAGGGGGGAATCCTACACCTACTACGAGTAGGTTCCCTCCTTTCCTAGTCCAACAAGGAGGGGAAGGAAGGAGGAAGGGGAGAGAAGGAAGGAGGGGGGCGCCGCCACCACCCCTTGTCCAATTCGGACTGGGGGACCACGCCACCTCCTGGCCGGCCCTCTCTCCTCTAAGGCCCATGGTGGCCCATTAACTTCCCGGGGGGGAGGGTCCGGTAACCCTCCGACAATCCGGTTTTATCCGAAACTCTCCGGAACACTTCCGGTGTCCGAATAACATGGTCCAATATATCAATCTTTATGTCTCGACCATTTCGAGACTCCTCGCCATGTCCGTGATCACATCCGGGACTCCGAAACAACCTTCGGTACATCAAATCACATAACTCATAATACATATCGTCATCGAACGTTAAGCGTGCGGACCCTACGAGTTCGAGAACTATGTAGACATGACCGAGACTCATCTCCGGTCAATAACCAATAGCGGAACCTGGATGCTCATATTGGTTCCTACATATTCTACGAAGATCTTTATCGGTCAAACCGCATAACAACATATGTTGTTCCCTTTGTCATCGGTATGTTACTTGCCCGAGATTCAATCGTCGGTATCATCATACCTAGTTCAATCTCGTTACCGGCAAGTCTCTTTACTCGTTCCGTAATGCATCATCCCGTGACTAACTCATTGGTCACATTGTTTGCAAGGCTTATAGTGATGTGCATTACCGAGTGGGCCCGGAGATACCTCTCCGACAATCGAAGTGACAAATCCTAATCTCGATCACTATAAGCCTTGAAGAGGTCGAAGACCACGACATCGCGTCGCCGCCGTGCTCTGCGCCCTGCCAGCCGCCGCTAACCCTAACTTCTCACCACCAGAATTCCCCAATCCTTTAACACGAGCGCACCAGTCAACAAAAGCACTTGCTGGCCCACAAGTCAGGTCAATCCCGGTTGACTACTGCTGTGTCATCGTTTTTTGGCCTAAAACATGATTAGGGTTCAATTTGGACTGGGATTAGAGAGTTGAGTGTGCTGATTCCTGGTATTTGGAGTTCGGGGTTTGATTTAGATAACACCTGCTTGTTGGATTATATGTTGAACATAATATTTTGGAACATCGTTGCAGTGACAACTATTATGAACAGTAAAATATTGGAGGGTTTTTAAAAAAAATGGGGGTGTTAAACTTGGTCGACTCTACTCACACGTGTATTTTCGCGAAGAAATGACATCTTTGGTATTCTAGGAAAAAAGTTCAAAATCAAAGCTATAAAAATACAATGTTTGAAGTTTCCTTTTTTCGGTTTTCTCTTTCCATGTCGCCTATGGCGATGATGTATGTACTGCTCCCGATCTCCATAACAGAAAAGTCAGCAATTGCTGGATCTTTCAAAAGAAAATTGTTTTGAAGTAATAATGGTACTAAGATCTGAGTTCATTTTCTTCGCTGAGAAATTTTGGGGTATCAAACTTGGTCGATTGGTTGACATCCGTGGTATTCTAGGGCTTCCCGGGGTGAACTTTTGCAAATGATAAATAACATGTTAATCTACAACCCGCCAGTTCAAGCATACAGCAGCAGCAACAAACCCTACAATGTTAGTACCATCATACGCTTCAGTGCGACACATGTTTCAGGGCTAGCAACCATACAACAAACCAACCCAGGTGCATATTTTCGGTACATCTATCCATTCATGTCATTTCAACGCATGCAACCTGAAACCAAACCATGCACCTGAAGGAGAATTCCTTGCTCGCACATTCATAAATTCCACAAGGCCGCAACATGCAGCCTAAGGCAAAACTACACCTGAAACTCGTTGGTTCCAGCAACAGAATCAACAAGTAGTTAACACACCGAACTGGTAGCAGTGACACATCTCTTACTAAGATCTGAACATATGTCAGGAAGTAGTCAAACACTCAACTACAGAACTAACTGTAAAAACTTCAGAGCTCTTGCCACCCCGAACATCTCCACTGACTGCAAAAGAGCGACTGCTCTGTTTCTCTGCTGGAAGAGCAAGTTCCTGAGAATAATCTGGTAGGGTTGGCTTGAAATGACCGAGCATGCTGTAACTAAGAGGCTGGAAATCCACCACGGCATCCGTATACTCCAAATATAACCGAGCAGTGCCAACATGATCCTACACATCAAAGGTTCAAAACTTGTTGGACCACACCACACCTACATAAATTCGAGATATCGTACAAATTCATGTGTGCATCATACTGCCACAGAAGCTGCTGCTACCGCGAGCAGTGATAACCATGCATCAACACAATTGATCATCAGGGACATGAATAGAACATACTGGGCAGTGGGCACAATCCACATAGGTTGCAGCATAGTGCCACAGTTTATGAAAATAGAGACTTCTCTCTCCAACGGTTTGCCCAATTCAAATGTGATCCACTCTCTAGAATTACCAGACTTTGATGATATGTTACATTGGAGAAGAATGCTGCACTGCTGGGCTATGCAACAGAAAGTGTTTCCAAAAAGCAAGAGAATTACAGCACTGTACTCGGCTTTATCTATTTGATGCCTGCCCATGTCCTGAAAGCTCGGACATCATCAATCCTTTTGCTCTGAGCTTCTGTTTTGTCATGCAATGAATTCAAGTTCCTATACAGATTCTTGTGCAGCCTCAGAAAGGCCTGCCTGTATTTCCACTTGTCGCAGTAAATATTATGGGTTGACATGTAACTTATAACCTCCATCACCCTTGAAAAATAGCCACCTTTGAGGAAATCTAAAACTAAGCAGTCAAGCAAATCCCTGTCCACAGATATTTCTCTGTAGTCGAGTCTGCGTTTTATTTCTCCCCACAGTATGGTAATCTCCCTATACATGCTTAATGACGAATATCCACACAGTATATGGGAAAAGGTATGCAGATTGGGTCTAATATTTTGCTCTCTCATGCGTTTATATGTGCTCAGAGCATCTTCCATCATGTTTGCCTTGCAGAAGAAAAGAATTGAATTATTGAACTCAAAGGTTAAGTGGTCTCCAGGGTTATAGTGTTCAGTTTCTTCAACCAAACTGGAAAGCAAAGATGATTTAGTTTGGGGGATCTCATCCTTGACTATTTTGGCAATGTCCTTTATGGTAAATGATGGACTAGTATGAAATTCCGCCATGGTCGGTGCTATTTTCTGTATCTGTTGGAGAAGCAAATTGAATTCTTCGGGTTTATGATTATTCTCGTATTCTCTGAGAAGAGACATGTAAGTACCAACCCCGACAGGAATCTCAGCTGACTCTAAAGCATCCAGGATATCATGAGAGGCATGCAACCATCCCATCTGAATGCAGGCATTAATCACATCTGAAGCAGAAATCCCCTTTAGTTCTTCCTTATGCAATGTAATACAGAAGCTAGACAATGCACCCAGTTTCTTTGCTTTCACACAGCCTACGATAAGTTTAGCAACAGCCTTTTCACTAGGAACAAGATTTCCACTGAGAGGAACAACAAGTCCAGACTGGTTTTTTGTATCTAACACAAAACCTTTGTCCAATTTTGTGGGGTCAAACATTATTCTGTATCCACTTTTTAGGTTACCAGAGCCAATTTGTATCACACCTTGTTTCTGCACATCATTGTCGGAGAAAGTGCATGACTTTTGTTGCCGATACAGATCGATTATAAGATCTGCAGCAGCATCCATGTCATTACCACTGAATTGCAAGCTCAATAAACTGTCGTAAAAATGTAGATATTGCTGAGAGAATGGCAAAGAGGAGAAAGAATTGATGCTTCCTTTCATGGTCATCAATTCATCTCGCTGCCCAACCATTTGACAGACCCGGCTAGCGACCGCCATTGTATTCACATCAGCCACAACCCCGACCAATGACATCAGCTCCATTATTTTCTGGGCTGTGATGATGCATTTGAAGTTAACACAAGACTCCAAAATCATATTGAACAAGGTGACATTGTTCTTTATTGGGTCCAATTTTTTCAGCTGTCGCCTATCTGAAATTTGATCCAAGAAACACTCGCAGGTCTCAGCCAGAACATCAGCTGCAAGATAGGATCCTACTTGTGACTTCAACATGTGCAAAAACACCATGCTCAATATATCAGCATCAGGAAGCTTGCCGCTCTCCAGTATGATCCTAAGAACTGCAGAGGCAGGAACAGGTGTCTGATCTCTTGCAAGTGCCAGAGCTAGCCTCATCAGCGAGCTAGAGTTGAGAAGATTGCCGTTACACTGATAAACTGACAGAACCAAGTCATACGCTCTCTGAAGCCACCTTCGACTAGATGTGTACGACAGTGACACAATCACACCATTCAATACCCTTGGCTCGGGAAGGCCATGCAGGCTTTTATAATTGCCAAATGCTCGCAGCGCCTGGTCGACATTGCCATCCTTGAGAGCAACATCAATCGTCCTCAGTAGAGTTTCACGGGATGGCGCTTCCCATGGCAGAATCGAGCCGGCAGTTGTTCTCATGGGAAGACACTGCGCAGCTAGAACGCGATGCAGCCTCCATGGGCTCCCGCCGCAATTTGCCTAGGACAAGTGCAAAAGCATTTATCTTAAATTCCAGTTGATTAAGAAGAAGAGAAACTATGGAACCCAAGTACACTCGAATTGTACATTGATCACCAAGGTAGTGCTCTTACAGTGAAGGCAGCTCCGGCAGCCCGAGAGAAAAATGGCAGCCTGCAGCAATGGCGGCACGCCCGGAGCAAGATCCTCATTGCTTCAATCAAGCATAGACATCACGCTTGGAAGGTGAACCGGAGAGAGGGGATCATACAGAACAATCCAGGAAATATGAAGCGGTGGACTGATGCAACTACACAAACATGGAATGGAATATTATAGAGATTTGTTAACTACTAGAAAAACATCGAGATCGAAACTAGGAGTTACGCGCTGCGAAACCATACATTATTGGAGGCCTGAGAGGTGAGATTGAGGCGTGAACCTGGCTGGCCGCATCCTCCGCCCCCCGTCGCAGCACGACGGCGCCGCCCAAGCGCGTCTGCGCCGGGATCTCCGTCCTCCCTCGATGCGCTGACGCCGCGCAGCCGCAGCCCGAGATCGCCTCCGAGCTCACCTGCTAGCTAGAGGCGTCGCCGCCGGCTCGTCGTGGGTGCCTGGCCGCCTGAGATGGGATGGGAGCTGGGGGTTAGGAAACTAGATGGGCTTTATCGGGGCATGGAGGCTCAGAGAGAGAAGGCCAACCACTCACGGGCCGCAGCCCACACCTCACTCGTCGTTCTCCTCTTCCGCGCTGATGATGGCGCTGAGGGAGAATCCCCTTCCCCCCAGCTCACCCGTTCCTCCCGCCGGCTCCTGAATCCGGCGACCGCCCAGGCCTCCGTTTGCCGGCGCTGTATAAAAGAAGCGTCGCGTCATCCTTCCACCTCCAGCGGACTGGCGTGGCGTGGACCGTGGAGTGGATTTGAAGACCGGAGAAGCGGAGATCCATCCAGGGTGATTTCATTTCATTTTCTCGGTACGGAATCCCTAAGGTCTTGTTCGGTTCCACAGGGTTTTAAAGGGTTTGAAGCAAATTGGTAGGGATTAAATCCTCGGCAAGTCAAAATCCATATCAAATCTCTCCAATCCTCTTCAATCCTTTTGTGGTGGGGATTAACTGAACAAGGCCTAAGGTGTTTTATCTTGGATTGTTGTAAAAAAAATGTATATAATCCCTCTAAGTACCACGTTTTGAAGGCATATGCAACGCAAGTCCTTAAACCAACGCCACAAATGTTCGCGGACATGTTGGGAGCCATCCAACAATGACGACAAAATTTCTTCATTTGTCTGGTGGCCGCGCCCACATCTTCTGCCCCGGCCTCCATCCGCCACCGCACCGGTGGCCATAGCGGAGTCCAATTGACCTGAAAATTTATAGAGAATATTTTTAGAAAATATAAAAAATACTGGAACAAAAAGATATCGGAGAAGAGTCCCGAGACCACCACAAGGGTGGAGGGCGCGCCCTCCGTCCTTGTCGTCGCCTCGTGGGCCCCCTTGACTTGTCCCCGACGCCAACACCTCTTATAAATCCCCAAAACCCCAGAACAGAACCTAGATCGGGAGTTTCGCCGCCGCAAGCCTCCGTAGCCACCAAAAACCAATCGGGACCCTGTTCCGGCACCCTGCCGGAGAGGGGAATCATCACTGGTGGCCATCTTCATCATCCCGGCGCTCTCCATGACGAGGAGGGAGTAGTTCACCCTCGGGGCTGAGGGTATGTACCAGTAGTTATGTGTTTGATATATCTCTCTCGTGTTCTTGATTTGGCATGATCTTGATGTACCGCGAGCTTTGCTATTATAGTTGGATCTACAATGTTTCTCCCCCTCTACCTTCTTGTAATGGATTGAGTTTTCCCTTTGAAGTTATCTTATCAGATTGAGTCTTTAAGAATTTGAGAACACTTGATGTATGTTTTGGTGATCAACTTGCGGGTTCTGTGACCTTGTGAACTTATGCATAGGGGTTGGCACACATTTTCGTCTTGACTCTCCGGTAGAAACTTTGGGGCACTCTTTGAAGTTATTTGTGTTGGTTTGAATAGATGAATCTGAGATTGTGTGATGCATATCGTATAATCAAACCCGCGGATACTTGTGGTGACATTGGAGTATCTAGGTGACATTAGGGTTTTGGTTGATGTGTGTCTTAAGGTGTTATTTTAGTATGAACTCTAGGGTTGTTTGTGACACTTATAGGAATAGCCCAATAGACGATCAGAAATGATAACTTTGAGGTGGTTTCGTACCCTACAATAATCTTTTCGTTTGTTCTCCGCTCTTAGTGACTTTGGAGTGACTCTTTGTTGCACGTTGAGGGATTGTTATATGATTCAATTATTTTATCATTGTTGAGAGAATTTGCACTAGTGAAAGTATGATCCCTAGACCTTGTTTCGAAGCATTGCAATGCCGTTTTCGCTTACTTTTGTTACTTGCTACCTTGCTGTTTTTATATTTTTCAGATTACAAAAACCTATATCTACCATCCATATTGCACTTGTATCACCATCTCTTCGCAGAACTAGTGCACCTATACAATTTACCATTGTATTGGGTGTGTTGGGGACACAAGAGACTCTTTGTTATTTAGTTGCAGGGTTGTTTGAGAGAGACCATCTTCATCCTACGCCTCCCACGGATTGATAAACCTTAGGTCATCCACTTGAGGGAAAATTGCTACTTTCCTACAAAACTCTGCGCTTGGAGGCCCAACATGAGTCTACAAGAAGAAGGTTGCATAGTAGACATCAATGGGTACACGGATCGTGCCCCTCGCTGGAAGAGAATAAATCTCAAACCCCCTCGGTTCATCAGGAAGCCAAGTGAAGTCATGGATCTAATGTAAACAATCTAGATCAATGAAGTTCTAAGCCACTTGTTCTCAAGACTGTAAGCAACTATTAGCAGTTAATCAGATTCTCGGGGGCTACACCTAGTGGGTTCACTCATTGTGCCCCCATTAGAAGAAAAAACATTAATTCCGTCGGTTAATCTACAACCTAAGTGAATCCATGGATTTAACATAAACAATCTAGATCTATGAAGAATTAGAATTACTTGTACTTGAGACTCTAGCCAGCTGCCAACAATTGATCATAGTCTCAGGGGGTACACCTAGTGGGTGCACTAGTCGTGCCTCCACTAGAAGGAAAACCTAAAGGGTTTCATTCGGTTATGTCAATCCAACTAAGAGAAAAATGATCTGGTCATCTGAATGGAAATGAATGGCACTTACTCTAGTACTTACTCAGATATTCGCCGTCAAGATCCCATTTGACTTGATTAATTCTTCTAACCGAGATTCCATTGTTGGCCCCTACTATTGGTGCCGCGGGTATCAGGTACCCACGAACCCTCCCACGTGGGGTCTACAATGGCTTCTTGCTGGGAGATCACCAAGACATGAGCATAGCTGAAGAGTCGTCCAAGGCTCTTCTCTGAAGAGACAAGCGAAGCAGGGCTCGAAAGACTTCCAGGCAGGTCATTGGGAGGTACTATTTTCGATGGCCCTCGACTTCCACACCAACAATAAGGTGTAAGAAAATGTCAAGATGGCAACATCCTTTCTTGGGAACACCAAAGGCATGGGCTCCCGCAAAGGAGACGCTCCCTTGGGAATGACTCGTTCAACCTAATCCACAACGCTCCAGGTTCGACCCACCAGGGTGACAACACCTTATTGCCACAGTGGCCCGGCCCAGCAGCGGTGCAGCTCGCGGGCCTTTTCCATCGCGTGGCACGCCGAGGTCTCCTTCCCCTTGAGCGGTTGTGTCGTGTCAAACATCTAACCCCTTCTTTCGCATGCCTAACACCAGTTACGTGTGTGGCAAGGTAATAAGAGGCGGTTATGCTAAGCGGCGGTGATGGGATGTGCGTCCGTTCCCGGGCTCAGGAGAAGAAGACACATGCCCCTGCATTTAATGTGTAGGTATGTAGTAGGTATCCCACTGTATATACACGGTGTCTAGTGTACTATCTATAGCCATGTTGGTGACCCTTGCAATATAAAAGGAGGCCCAAGCTATAAAGGGAGGAGGATTCAGTTCAGGTCATATCTTAGATAGGCTAGATAGAAAGGAAAACCTGCTCGTTCCCTTCGCGAGACAAGCAGGCATTCCACGATCTTTGTAAGCTCTCCTCGCCTAAGAAAGCAACCAGCATGAGTAGGGTTTTATGCACCATGTGGACCAAACTTGGGTAAAACATCAGTGTACCCATCACCTTCATCGACGTAATATCGGTGTCCACCACGCCACCCTCGAACAAGCAAAAAGGTCGCCCCGGCCCCTGGTGTCGCGTGCTCTCGAGCATGGCCCACGACCTACTTCATCCTCTGAAGACCAGCCACATCCCTAGTCTGGTGATGACCTAGGCTAGTTATTCTTCTTTGGATCATGTCTAAAATTCAAATGAATTTGAAGTAGGGATTGATTAAACCCTAGCACCACATTAATAAACTAGATTTAACTAAAATATTTCACAATGAACCCAAAATGCCCTTAAAAATGTTCATGATTTAAGGAAAAAGGTGAAAGCCTTAACCAGAGATGATGCACATATTTTCCATGGCATTTGTGGCCTTTGAATTAATCCATATTGTATTTGAATTGAAGTTATAAAATCCTATAAATATTTTTATAGCTCCAAAGTAGGTTATAATTCAAATAAGCTCTTTTCACTGGCAAGTTTGAAATCATAGTTAAGTTCTATAATTACCCAATAAGCTTTATGTTTTAACTCAAGAGGCAAATGACATGCTTTTCCATAGACCATTTTATAAGGAGACATACTGTAACATCCCAAATTTTCAATTTGAAATGTTATACATAGATCATTCATGCATATCATATTTTATTGCATTTTCGTTCCGCAATCCTCGAAATCCTAAGCAACTCAAGGACCCTCGGAGAGAGTTGGGGATTACCCGGGTTTCATATTTGCTTTTTATCAAATAATGAAACGAGGATTTTTGATTTTGATTATTTTTCTCTCCGAAAAATATTTCATAATAAAATATATGAGAGGAGATAATATGACTTCTCCAAAATAACTGAAATATTGGAGGAAAAATATTAAAATCATTTATTAGATTTTATTTGGATTTTATTTGCATTAGAAAAATTGCACGTTTTCAAAATTACATTTTAGGGCCAAGAAAATGTTCATCTCATCCTAAATATTTTATTTAGACGGTGAAAATTTGT